GACTGTGTTTAATGCAATTGGATTGGTTGGGAGACACAAAGAGCCAGGAAACTGGAAGGCCAGGTACACTTAGGGCTGTTGCAATAGTTCAAGTGAGAAATGACAATTGTCTGAACTTACAGGGGCAGTGGCAGTGAAAAGGACTGGAGATATTCAAGTTCTGGGCAATGGAGTGGCTTACGGTAGTTTTAAAGATAACAGAGCAAATCAAAACCACAATAAGATACCATTTCACATCCATTAGGATGGCTATAATAAAAAAGTCAGATTATAGTAACTGTTGGTGAGGATGTGGGGAAATTAGAATTCTTAAACACTGCTGCTAGGAATGTAAAATGCTACAGCTGCTTTGCAGAAATTTGGCAGTTCCTCAGAAATTTAAGTATATGTACCATTTGATGTAGTAATTCCACTTATAGGTATATACCCAAAAGAAATAAAAAATATGTATACACAGAAACCTATCCATGAATGCTCATGATAGCATTATTCATTATATTCAAATGGTAGAAACCACCCAAATTTCCAAATGATGAATGGATAAAAGGGGTATATCCATACAATAGTTTTGGTATATGTTTTATTTGGTTCTGGTTCTCTGGAGAACCCAGATATAGGTACTCACAAATATAAAAGATGTAGGATTCTGATTGCCTTTAATAAATGAAAATCATTACACAGTTGGCCCAGAGTTTTACTTGGCAGTTTGAAGCCTGACCTTATAGCTATGAAATTCCAAGTTTGTGAATGAATACATGACTAAAAGAGTTAGAATGAAATGATCAACAGCATGTACCATTTCAGCTTTTATTAATAAAACAGAAAACTAAACTCAAGGCAACTGCATTTGACCTGACCACACATAACCAGAGAAGTGAGTCTTTACGAGGACTTAAAGGAGAACTGTCAATATACAGATAGGTTCCGTCAAAAGTGAGATATTGCAATATCTAAATACAGTTAGGTAAGTGAAATTAAAAAGAGAACAAATTAACTATTAAAAATCACAGAAATCTCATCCTCAGATATCAGGGGCTTCTTTTAACAGTCGTCAGCGTGTTCATCAAGATCAATCATACTCCACAACTCCCAAAGGAAAAAACTGAGGGAATTCCTGGGTAATTTTCACAGCTTCATTGTAAAGTCCAAGATCTAAAACAAAACGAAAGAAAACAAAACAAAAACATTTTAGCAAACACAATCTACAATGGAAAGATGTAACATCATTTATTATCTAAAAGATTTCTACTTATTTCTCTTCTTTCCCTTTTAGAGGTCTTATTTTCACAATCTGTCTTCTAAAACAGATGCAGATCGTCATATTTATTTACCTGTGGTTCTAAAAAATAAGACACAAGGTATAGGCGACTATTCATCTTCATATCCAATGTACAGGCACAGTTCTTGCCTGGTTGTGTTTAAGGCATTATGCATTATTTAATGCTTTCAATCCATATGTTAAAACAAAAAGCCTGATGACATTATTTTTGTTTGCCATGTTCTTTAAGTTTCTCTTCCCACAAATATTAATCTTTACTGAGTTTACTTAAGCATTGCTTAGTGGGGTTCCTGGGTGGCTCAGTCAGTTAAGCATCCAATTCTTGATTTTGGCTCAGGTCATAATCTCACGGTTCGTGGGTTCAAGCCCTGAATTGGGCTCTACGCTGTCCTGCTTGGGATTCTCTCTCACCCTCTCTTTCTCTGCCCCTTCCTCACTCACTTGCATGTGCGTGTGTGCACTCTCAAAATAAATAAACTTAAAAAAAAAAAGTGTGCCAAAATGTTCTCCTATTTTCCTTTGGGATGAGAAAATTCTATAGAAATTGAAAGATGGCAGGATTGAGACTGAAGACCAAGACATCTCCAGTTAAGAATAAAATTGTTTTCCTCCTAATTACATGAAATTTCTAAATACTAGAATGCTTTATTTACCAAAAGGATGGTTATCTTCTTTAAACTGGACATAAGATGCACACAGAATGGTTGCTTTGGCTGTTACTCTTCCAACTACTTCCACAATTCCAGAGATTTCTTCATCAAGCTGACACAAAAGAACAAATTGTCAACTTGGGGTTTCAAGGTGATAACTTGGAAACAGTGCTACAGTTTACTCATCTTTCATTCTATGTAACATAATCATTTTCAAATTTACCAACATAAAAACTGAATTGTAATTTGTTAAAAATGTTTGAGTACTTAATGTCAGCATGTCATAATTCAATTACCTTTAGCAGTAGCTTCTGGTCCAAAGATCCAGTTAAATGTTCAAGTTGAAGACAAAATCACTTAAAGATACTGAGAATGTCCCGCTTTCTACAAGGAGTACTTGTTTAAAAGGATACATTGAAAGGAATTTTCTAGTTTCTATATCTTGTGCAGTGTGTCCTGTACATATTAACTAAACAGCACATGTATTTGTCTTCATAAAAAAACAAGAAAATTGAGTACAATAAACAAAACATAAAAACAGGGGTGCCTGGGTGGCACAGTGAGTAAAGCGACCACCTTCAGCTCAGGTCATGATATTGCGGTTCATGAGTTCTAGCCCCGCATCAGGCTCTGTGCTGACAGCTCAGAGCCTGGAGCCTGCTTTGGATTCTGTGTCTCCCTCTCTCTCTGCCCCTTCCCCACTCATGCCTTGTCTCTCTCTCTCTCTCTCTTTCTCTCTCTCCCCAAAATAAATAAACATTTAAACAAATTTTTTAAATGTAAGAACAGTAAGTGATAACTAAAAGTACATGTAAACAAAAATAGAAAATAGAATTAAAAAAATGTAAAACTCTTGAGAAAGGAAAAAAATGACTTAAGAGATTTTTTTAATGTGATTTTATGGTCTTTGATAGGAATGGGAATTGTCACCCAGTTAAGGTGATACTTTAAAAATTAGAAAATCATGGAGCCCAAAGAATCATTGGTTAGAAACGTAAAGGTATCTATAATGTAAGAACAGGACAAAAGTTTAACTTTAGAGCAGGGAGGTTTTATAAACTCATCAAGCTATTTTGTTTCAGATAAACAATACTTTTTAGTACAAATATACCCTGTATTTTTATTTGCTAAATCTGGTAACCCTGCACTAACAACAAATTAAATAGGGTCCATGCTTTATACATCCACTGCAAGACTCAGAAACATCAGCAAGATGAAGAATTAACTATAAGATACATAGAATTAATACTTAAACATACAGGCTCCATCAACTCAATGGTTCCATTTTTTCCTTCTCCATCTGAAAGAATAAACATTTTTCCAGTGGGATGAATCTAAAAAAGAAACACGAAATTAAAAAAAACAACAACAACCACATAAACAAAACCATTAAAATCTCATTAAAAATGTTAAAAGTTTGATAAAAGATCAGCAGATTGACCCAAACACTCTTGGAACGGTTTATTTGGTTCAAATTATAATCTTGTGTTACTGTATCTGGTGAAAGGACACATAGTTAAATTTGAATTTCAGATAAACAATACTTTTTAGTACAAATATATCCTGTATTTTTATTTGCTAAATCTGGTAACCCTGCACTAACAACAAATTAAATAGGGTCCATACTGTCTAAAAGTGAGATCTACTAGCACCCATGATTTAAATAGTATGTATCCCACCGGAGGGTCTATTTTAAAAATTAAGCATGATGCCTGCGCCTGGCTGGCTCGGTCCGTAGAGAGTGGCCACTCTTGATCTCAGGGTTGTGAGTTCCAGACCTACCTTGGGTGTATAGATTACTTAAAATCTTAAACCAAAAAATTAAGCATGATTAAGTAAAGCGAGAACTGTTTGTTAGAAGTATTAGAACTACTGTTAGATGTAAAGAGTGAAGTCAGATCTGGTTTGAATGCCAGCTTTGCTACTTGCTGTGGCAGTGAGCGTTTTAACCATACATCACTCCTACCCAGTTTCCCTACCTGTGAAGTCGGAACACCACCTATTTCACGGAGAGGATGTGGGGGTGAAATGAACTACTAAGCCTTTCTAGTAGTTTTCTTTTCCTCAGCTCTCTCGGTTCACTGATTGGGAAGCTTTGGGTCTGCTTTTCATCAGTAGGATGAAAGCTCTGTATGTACTCTTAACACTGGAGTAAGAAAACATACTGATACAGGATCTGGAAGGGACATAGATGTGCTGTAAAACATTGGAAGAATGTTTTATGGCGACGTGACCTAAATGAGAAAACGAGGATTGAGAAGAGACAAAATTGCATGAGAAGGAAACTAGAAAAATAGAGAAGTCAAGACTAGCTAAATTAAGACGTCAGAAGGTAGATGTGTGAGTCAGGTCTATAATTTTCTTTATGTAAATACAAAAAGAACCAGAGTGGAGGGAGCTAGAATTAGAACGGAGCGCATACTAAAAGGTCGCGATCCCGCGCCATGAATGTGGCGCCAAAATGGGGCTGCAGTAGCTAAAAAGCGTGCCAACAGTCGCCTTGCGCAAAATGAAGCAATCGGGAGCGCTGTAATGTTCTAAGGCCTGTTTTCCTTCACCCTCCCTCACACCCAGAGGCTGCCACCCGGGCGGGCACGGGGTCCTTCCTCTCGGCTACCAAGCGGGGAGCCGAGGGCGGCGAGCGCGCGCACCTTTTCCAGCCTCCCTACGAAGCAGACCGGCTGGTCGATGAACCGAGCCAGCATGCTGGCGTTGATGCGCGACCTGGGCAACTCCATGACGTCCACCATGATTGCGGTGCGAGACCTACGGCCGGCGGGAAACAGACGACAGAAATTGTGAGCCCCGCGGCGTCTATGGGACGCCGGCACCAATCAGCGGAGACCAACACTCTCACTCCACCAATCAAACGTGCAGAAATCTCGATCAAACTCGAGCTGTACAGTGGAGGGACCCAGCACGGAAGGCTGCTTCCGGAAATGGGGATCGGCTGCTTAGTGACGCGCAGCGTCCCGGAAGTTGCCCGGGTCCTCCGCAGAGTGGGCAGTGGAGGCGGGGCTTGGGCGGGGAGGGGCTTGAGGCTCCCTCCCGCGATCTCGGGCCTCCCTCCCGGATTTGACCCCGGAAGCAGGGTGTTGGGCTCCGGTGCGGTAGCGACGGGGGACTGCGGCGCTAGCCTCAGGTACCTCTTCTCGCGGGAGGCGCCGCAACCTTAGTGTTTCTCTTTCTCCCCTATCGACGGATGCAGATGAGAGAGGCGGGACTCGGTGCTTGCCCCGCCGCGGCGTTCCTGGTGCTGCTTATCGACCGTTCGCGTTTCCCCGCCTCCCCTCTTCCCGGTTCTGCGTGGGAAGCGCGGGATTTTTTGCTGAAATGGAGGGATCGGTTGTTTTTGACACCTGCCCTCCTGGAGACGGGAAGTGGGGTCTCCAGTGATCTTACATTGCTTTTGTCAGGCCTTTGCTGCTAGGTGCAGAGGGTCGGTGATTTAACCGCTTAAGCTGCGTCACTTACCGTTCGGTTTCCCACCTGTTAGAAGAAGGGCTAACCTAATACTCGACTCTTTCTAGCCCTTGCAACCTGGCCACACTAAGGAAGTGCAAGTTTTCTCGCCTCCTGCGTGTTAGCAACAAATTGATGCTTTTCAGAATGGGTGGGGGTAAGGATCACTGAGCTAGGAGAGGAGACGAATTTAAATATGTTAGATCCTGAGCAGGTGCGCCTCTCCCTGACATAGTTTACTTATCACGAAGTGAAAGGGTTAGATAATATGAATGTTTTGCAAGATCCCAGCTAAGTTTTGTCCATGTGATTCACGGACTCAACTCCCCGGCAATCTTACCCCCACATTGCCCTCTACGCACCAGGACGTTGGAGGCTTCGAAGATAAAATGTTTGTTTCAATGAGATTCGGGGATGGGGGGTTTCTTAAAACCTTAGCTGGTTCATGTGAATGTTGATTTCAGAGCTTTATCTCCTGGGATTGGTACTGCCTTGCCAGGGATATTCTAGAATGAGCGCTCATAAAAATACCTGCCAACGCTACTGCGGAAATGGGGGGGGGGGGGACAACAACTTTTTTTATTGGAGTATTATCACTTTTTGGAAACTGAGTCCATGAATTTGCTTAAAGATCCTGAGTTGTCACCATTCAAATTCAGGCACTAGACGGAGGCTCCTAATTTAGTCTCGTAGTTGCCTTAAGCAAAGAAGATTCTTTTTGAGATTTCATGTGGCAGTTTAAGACAGATGTGCCATAATTAAATGATACCCTCCCTCAGTGTTTATTTAGCTGAATATATTTGTCTTTTAATTTAGCTGTCACGAAAACAAATTTAAAGGATTTCTTTAGCCAGATGCAGGGTGCATGTGAGTTAGTGTATACAAGAATGGTGGTTGTACTGGCTCAAGTCCATAAAGTTTATATTTTTGTGCATAAACCTTGACTTATTTTGCACACTGTTGTTTTGGGAAACAAGTTGATGTGCGTTATAAAGGGTAAGGTAGGCATGAATATCTTTAATAGCAGTTTTTAAAAAAAGCAGCCCTTAATGTACCAGATGCTAATATCATTGTTTTATTATAATTAAAAGACCACTTTCACATACCAATGGCCTTTAAAAAAACAACAACAGAAAGATGAACAAGAAAATAATTTAAAACATATTTTTGGATATTTTTGGAGTCATTTAAATGTATTGTGTAATACATAATGCACAGAGAAGAGTATACATGGCTGTTATGCATAGTTTCCAGAGAAATTAAATGAACTCATTCAGGGGAAGAAATGGAATTTAGCCAATTAATAGTTTGTGCTTCCTCAGTTATATTCCCCTCTAGAGGAGCCACAAATAAACACTATCTTGAAATTTGTGTTCAGCACTCTAAGCTTTTCTATATAGTTTATCACACATGTTGGCATTCTTACATGGTATGTTTGATTTTGCTGGTTTTGACCTTTCTATAAATGGAATCATAGGATATATATCCTTTGACTTGTTTATTTTGGTTGTTTTTGAGATTAATCCATGTTGACATATGTAGGTGAGTTCATTCTTTTCATTCAGCTGTTTTGCTGTGTTACTGACATTTTGATTGCATATGGGGCTGCTATGCATGCATATTTTTGTACCTATTAGTTGGTATACTTGTGCAGAGGTATATCAGTAGAACTTAGGATGTGTGTCTCCAACTTTACTAGTAAAACCAAATACAGTTGACCCTTGAACAACACAGGTTTGAATTGCATAGGTCCACTTGTTTCCAATTTTTTTTTATAAATATAGTACAGTACTGTAAATGTGATTTATTCAAGATTTTCTTAATAATACTTTCTTTTTTAGAGGAGCCTGAGTGGCTCAGTCGGTTAAGCATCCAACTTTGACTCAGGTCATTATCTCACGGTTGGTGAGTTCCAGCCCCTCATCAGTCTCTGTGCTGACAGCTCAGAGCCTGGAACCTGCTTTGAATTCTGTGTCTCCCTCTCTCTCTGCCCCTGCCTAGCTTGAGCTCTGTCTCTCTCTCTCAAAAATAAATAAACACTAAAAATTAAAAAAAAAAAAAAACCTTTCTTTTTTGGGGGATGCCTGGCTGGCTTAGTTGGGTAAGCATCCGACTTCAGCTCAGGTCATGATCTCATGGTGAGTTTGTGAGTTCCAGCCCTTCATGGGGCTCTGTGCTCACAGCTTGGAGCCTGGAGCCAGCCTCGGATTCTGTGTCTCCCTCTTCTCTCTGCCTGTCTCCTGCTTGCACTCTCTCTCTCTCAAAAATAAATAAACATTAAAAAAGTTTTTTTAATTAATATTTTCTTTTTTGTAGTATATTGGAAGAATACCGTATATAATACATATAACATATAAAATATGTTTTAATCAGTTGTTTATGGCTTCTGGTAAGGCTTCCTGTCAATAGTAGACTATTAGTAGTTAAGTTTTGGAGGGAGTCAAAAATTATATTCATTTTTCCACCACTGTAGGGGTGGGTAGGGTGTGCACCCCATCCCCACATTGTTCAAAGGTCAACTATACTGAACTCCAACTAGTCATACCAATTTATTGTTTTATCAGAAGTATAGGAGAATTTCAGTTGATGCACATTTTTGGCAACTCTGAAAGTTTTTTACTCCTAATCTGATGGAGATAAAATAGTTTCTTGTGGTCATAATTTGCTCTCCCTGATTACTAATAAGATTGAACAGCTTTTCAAATATTTTTTGGACATTTGTGTGTGTCAGTGTTTTGTTCTTTTATGCTTATTTTTAATTTTTTTTAGTGCTTATTTTTGAGACAGAGAAAGAGTGCGTACGCGTGCACACATGAGCAGGGGAGAGGCTGAGAGAGAGAGGAAGACACAGAACCCCAAGCAGGCTCCAGGCTCTGAGCTGTCAGTGCAGAGCCCAGTGAAGGGTTTGAGTTGAGCCTTGAGATCAGGACCTGAGCCCAAGTCGGATGCTTAATGGACTGAACCACCCAGGTGCCCCCATTCTTACTAATTTTTGGGAGCTTTCTGTATTAGTGTGGATAGCAATACTGCGTTTCCAAGTTTTTGACTTATCAATTTTTTTCTTTCTTTCCTTTTTTTCCCCCTTTCTTTTATTGGAAGGAACTCTTTTAATATATTTAAAATGTTTCCCCGTTTTGTTTAATATAGTTGAAAAAGTCAATTAAAAATTCTCATTTAAGAATCTTTTCTTAAAACAAGCTCTTAAAGATATTATATATTTAAAAACATAGTTTGTCTTTCATATTTAAAAAATAATCCATCATTTAGAATTGAGTTATGTATGTTGTCAGATAGGTATCCAATTTCTTTTGTTTTTGTATTTTTTTTCAGTAGGCTCCATGCCCAGTGTGGAGACCAATCCAGGGCTTGAACTCACTACCGTGAGATCAAGAGTGGGATGCTTTGGGGAGCCTGGGTGGCTTAGTAGGTTAAGCATCCCACTCTTGTTTTCAGCACAGATCATGATCTCACAGGTTCATGAGTTTGAGCCCTATGTTGGGCCGTGTACTGGCAGTGCAGAGCCTGCTTGGGATTCTCTCTGCCTCTCCCCTGCTCATTTGTGTGCTCTCTCTCTCTTTCTCTCTAAATAGATTAAAAAAAGGGGGGGGGGGAATGTTTAACCGACTGAGCTACCCATTGTTGTGAGTTTTTTGTTTTCATTTCAGTCCCAGCATCATTTATTGACTACATCACCATCAACAACAAACCTTCAGCATCACCTAGGTTTTCCTATATGTGTGGGTCTGTTCCTGAGCTTTGGTTCTGTTCTGTTGGTCTGTTTCTCCCTGTACCAGCGGTACCAGGCTCCTCAATACTCTGGCCCTGTATTAATTTTTGATGTCTGGGGGGCAAGTTTTTCTATCTTGTGTTATTCAGGAATGTCTTCATAATTCTCGCCGCTTTGCGGCTGTCTACGAATTTAGCTTGTTGAGTTCCATCAAAGATCATATTGAGATTTGATCACGATTGCATTGACTCTTTGGATTGATTTCAGGAGAAGTAACATATAAGGACAACTTTTACTTTTTTTGACCTACTTTGGTCTTATTAACATCTTTCCAAAAAGTTTCATCATTTTCTATAGAAAAGTTTTGATTTTTAGATTAGATTTATTTCTAGCTACCTTGTTTTGGTTGCTATCATGAATGGTATATATATTTTTACTTTTAATTGTAATTTCTTTTGAGAGCTAGAATCCCAAGCCTGTAGCTGGAGGTTCAGTTTTCCTATCTTTTGTTCATTTACATGGATTGTGGTTATTGATATTTTTGGATTCATTTTTATAGTCATTTTGTGCATCCTGTGTTCTGCTTTTTTGTTGTTTATTTTTTTTCCCCCTCTTGCCTTCTTTTGAATTGACCTTTCAAGTTTTTTTCCTTAATTTCATTTTATTCATTTGTATTACTTAGTAGTTTGTTTGTTTTATTTTAATTAGGCTCTATGCCCAGTACAGAGCCCAACATGGCTCTGATGAACCATGATGAACTCATGATGCTGAGATCAAGATCTGAGCTGAGATCAAGAGTCAGATGCTTAACTGACTGAGCCACCCAGACACCCCTCCTGTCTATTAGTTTAAATGTTATGTATCGTTTTTACAATTTTTGTGGTCACCCTTTAACATGCATATTGAACTTAAAGTCTAAAGTTACTGTACTCTGTGTCACCACAAGAACCTGT